ATCTTTCGTGAAATAAAAGAAATCCCACGAAATAAAATTGAACATGAATCCCCCACAACATTCCCCCGGCGCCAGTGTTGCCAATTCAACTCGCGGACTGACCTTAGCAATGTCATCGACGGAGGTGGGCGTCGTGGGCGTGGTAACGGTGCCGGGCGTCGAGGCGGCCTGCGTGGCGCTGTGGCTCGGGCTCTTGATGTTACACCTGGAATGGGTCAATTTTCGTCAGGTGTGAGGCGTCATGCGTGAGGCGAGGTGGTGTGGTCGATGCCACGCTCGGGAGGGAGCGGCAGGGTGGAGGGGTGATTTTGGTGTGAAAATGGCACGAATGAATTGCAAGAGAATGCTAGGAATTGCGGCAGCGATACAAAGGATACTTGAAATCAAATTTTGGCAATAATTATATCTACAATGATAATATTTAACTACAGTTCTTGGCGAATCTGATGAGGATAATACAAGCAGTACCGGAATACGAAAATAATAATAGTGTTACAGTAGCAACTGCAGCTTTGCTAAACCGGACGGCCCTACAGAGCGGGTCGACCAAGGTGTCTGGAGGCTGCCTGACCTGGAGCTCGGCTGGTACCGCAGGATGATGACGGAGGCGCTGACGATGGTGTAGGCCATGAGGGTTCCGATGCTCATGAACTCGACCAGTTTCTCGATGTCGAAGACGAGGGCGATGAGGGCTGACAGGAACCCGCACAGGATCAGGGTGATCACGGGGACCTGATGCCGTGCGAGGGCGGGGAGAAGTGGCGGTTAAAAAAGGAAGAAGAAGAGAGGTGTGAAGGTCATGTGTGTATTGCGGTCTTCGGAGGACATAACTTCAAATACTGATATTCTTTTACTCTCATGCAACAGCGTTTCCGTGCCCGACCCCAGGCCCAGGGCCAGAGCCAGGGCCAGGCCAGGGCCGCGACCCCAGCCGCGTGGGCCAGCGCGCTCACCTTGGTCTTGTCGGACACGCGCGCCAGCCACGAGAAGAGCAGCCCGTCGGCGGCCATGGCGTACACGCAGCGCGGGAGGCTGAACAGGGAGCCGAAGAGCGTGGTGGTCATGCCGCAGATGGCGCCCACGCTCACCACGTACTTGGCCCAGTTGGCGCCGTGGGCGGCGAAGGCGTCGGGGATGGCGGCGGCGGGGTTCAGGGTGTAGTACGGGACCATGAGGGTGAGGGTGGCGCCCACCATGATGTAGCCGACGGTGACCACGCTCATGGACACCAGGGTCGCCTGCGGGATGGACCTGGCCGGGTCCCTGGCCTCCTCGCCGGCCGTGGCGATGCTGTCGAAGCCGACGAAGGCGTAGAAGCACGTGGCAGCGCCGGCCACGACGCCAGAGGCGCCGTAGGGCAGGAAGCCCCTATCCGTGTTCCAGTTCTCGAGGTCCGCGAACATCATGCCGGCGACGATGACGAAGGCCATCACGCACAGGTTGATGAGCGTGAAGATGGAGTTGAAGTAGGCCGAGCCCTTGACGCCCAGGGTGAGGAAGCCGCAGTAGACGAGCGTGACGGCGAAGGCCAGGAAGTCCGGATACGGGGCGAGCAGGCCGGCGTGCAGCGTCCCGATGTACGTGACCGTCCCGTTGCTCAGCGCGCCCTCGAACAGCGAGTCCATGTAGCCCGACCACGCCCGGGCCACGGACGCCGCGCCTGGGGAGAGAAGGGGGGAGCTTGGTAAGGTCAGCCTCGAGTCATGTCACGCGAGCGGCTCATCTATCGCAAAGCTAAACCAACAACACCCTGGACACGGCCGGCGCCAGCGGGTCCGGCGCCGCGAAGCAGCGACCATCCCCGCGGCCGCCCGGCCCCCGAGCGCCCTCACCGATCATGTGCTCCAGGACGATGTTCCAGCCGATGACGAAGGCCCAGAACTCGCCGATGGTGACGTAGGTGTACACGTAGGCCGAGCCCGCCTTGGGCACCCGCGCCCCGAACTCGGCGTAGCAGAGGGCGGCGAGCAGCGAGGCGAAGCCGGCCAGCAGGAAGGAGAGGATGATGCCAGGGCCAGCCGTGTCCTTGGCCACCGTCCCCGTCAGCACGTAGATGCCGGCGCCCACCATGTGCCCGATGCCTGTCGGGGCGGAGACATGTTAATTTCCTCCCCCACGGAAACGGACATTCCCTAATATCAGACAATGGAAAGGCGCCCTCCCTCGCGTGCGGGCTGGTGCACCTTGCAAACGCCTTGCAGCCGGCGTGACTCTCCGCTTCACCCGCAGCCACACCATAGGACTAGTCACCGTGCGTTCCTATGTCCATTCACACAGCTCAGCAGACTGGAAAACGACTCGCCGGGGCCTCACCTAGAAGCGTGATGTCGAGCGTGGACAGGCAGCGGTTGAGCGGCGTGTCCATGGCGTCGGTGGCCACCTGCTTCGTCCGGGTCATCCTCTGCCACGTGCCCCCCCACCCCTCCACCAGCAGCCTGCCCCTCAGTCCTGGCATCTTGCCCCGGGCGCCTCCGCCTCTCCGCCGCGACGCCGACTACTCCTGCAGGAAGAGAGAGGAAGTGAGCAGGAAGAGGCCCACTGGAGGAGAGAGAGGAGTCCTTCACGGATGACGGGAGTCCGTCGCCGCTCGCGAATGCGAGGCCGGGCCGTGTCGGGACGCGCACGCACGCACGCACGCACACACACACACACACACACAACACACACACACACACACACACACACACACACACACACACACACACACAAACACCCAGACACACACACACACATGTATATATATATATATAATATATATATATATATATATATATATATATATATATATTACACATACATACATACATACACTACTATAACACACAACACAACACACACACACACACACACACAATATCTTAATATAGCATCTTATATTTACGATTCTCTCCTCGCTCATCACACACGGATCCCCCGCAGCCTCACGCCGTAATGCGATAGATTCTCAAGGAGTATAAGCTATCAAGTTTTTTTTTTCGATCGTCTATTCTTTTGTTTTCTTGGCGCGCATTTCATTCGTCTATTCTTTTGTTTTCTTGGCGCGCATCCGACAGTAAACCACGAATCGCGTTTCTATTGTTTGCGTTTCACACAAACCAGCGAATTAAAAACAATGACTAGTTTGATAGTCTTTTGCGGTTTATTTAATGAGGATAACAAAAATCTTTATTTATGGATACTTTCTCTGAAGTTGATGTTACAGAGAAGTAATAAAAAAGATTCTACAGTTGGAGTGAGAGAGACGGGAAGATAAGGAGAGGGAAAGGGAGCGGGGGAGGGAGGGGAAGGAGATGGAAAGGGAAGGGAAGAGGAAGAGGGAGAAAGTGAGGGAAAAGGGGATGAAGGGGAAGGAGAGGGGAAGGTGAGGGAGATTGAAAGGGAAGGGAAGAGGAAGAGGGAGAAGATGAAGGAAAATGAGAGGGAGAAACAGAGGGGAGGGTGGGGGAGAGATAGGCAGGGAGATGAGGGGAGGGGAGGGAGATGGGGAGGAAGAGGGAGAGGGATATGAGGATGGAAATGGAAGTAAAGAGGGAGAACGAGAGCAAGAACAAGGGAGAAATTGAGGGGAAGAGAGAGGAAGTGTACGAAAGCAGAAGAGTTTTAGAGATAGCTAACTAGCTAACAAGATATTAATAGAGAAAAAGACTGAAAGAGAGAAAGAAAGAGACAGTGAACGAGAGAAATAAAGAGACAGCGAACGAGAGAAAGAAAGAGACAGCGAACGAGAGAAAGAAAGAGACAGCGAACGAGAGAAAGAAAGAGACAGCGAACGAGAGAAAGAAAGAGACAGTAAACGTGAGAAAGAAAGAGAAAATGAATCAGGCACACAAAAAGATAATGTGAAAATGGGAGAGCGAGAGCGAGCGAGCGAAAGACAGTCACAGATGAAATTCACTCCCCCCCAGCACACCAAAAAAGAAAAAAGAAAAAAAGAGATAAATCGATATACAAAGCGACTGCATGAGAGGAACGCGGGCGAAGGCGGTCACGGGAGGAACTCAAGGGACCCGGAGGCGGCGGCAAAGAGGAAGAGGAGAGAAGAGAAGAGGAGGGAGATACAGGGCAAAGAGGGAGAGGAGAGGGAGGGAAGAGAAGAGGGAGAGGAGATACAGAGCAAAGAGGGAGAGGAGAGGGAGGGCAAAGGAGAGGAGAGAGAGGGCAAAGAAGGAGAGGAGACGAAGGGAAGAAGAGGGGGAGGCGAGAGGGCAAAGAGGGAAAGGAGAGGGAAGGAAGAGAGAGAGGGAGAAGAGGAGAGGCGAGAGGGGCAAGAGAGGGAGAGAGAGAGAGCAAAGAAGGAGAGGAGAGGGAGGGAAGAGAAGAGGAGAGGCGAGAGGCAAAGGGAGAGGAGAGAGAGAGCAAAGAAGGAGAGGAGAGGGAGGGAAGAGAAGAGGGAGAGGCGAGAGAGAGGGAGAGGAGAGAGAGAGCAAAGAAGGAGAGGAGAGGGAGGGAAGAGAAAGAGGAGAGGCGAGAGGCAAGGGGAGAGAGAGAGAGAGAGCAGAGAGGAAGGAGAGAGCAGAGGAGAGGGAGAGGAGAGGAGGGAGGGAAGAGAAAGGAGAGGAAGAGGGGAGAGAGGGTAAAGAAGAGGGAGAGGAGAGGGAGGGCAAAGAAGGTGAGGAGAGGAAGGGATGAAGAGAGAGAGGCGAGAGGGTAAAGAGGAGAGAAAGAGGGCAAAGAGGGAGAGGAGGGGGAGGGAAGAGAAGAGAGGACAAAGAAGAGGGAGAGGAGAAGAACGGAGAGGAGAGAGAGAGAGCAAAGAAGGAGAGGAGAGTGAGGGAAAGAGAAGAGGGAGAAGAGAGGGGCAATATGGAAGAGGAGAGGGAGAGAGGGCAAAGAAGAGGAGAGGAGAGGAGGGAAGAGAAGAGAAGATGAGAGGGGGAGAGGGCAAAGAAGAAGATGAAAGGGAGGAAAACGAAGAGGGAGAGATGAGGAAGGCAAAGCAGAGGAAGAGCAAACAGAGGGCAAAGAAGAGAAGGAATGGGAGGGATAAGGAGGAAGAGGATGTGAGAAAATACAAAGAAGGGGAAGAGGAAGAGAGAAAAGAGAGAAGAGAATAGAGTAGAGATATTGAGAGAGAGAGGTGAAGAGAGAGGGAGGGAAGGAGGGAGGGAGGGAGGGAGAGAAAACAGAGTAGAGTAGAACGTAGAGATAGATAGAGAAAGAGAGAGGAGGGAGGAGGGAGCTATAACATCTCTGTCTGTCTGTCTGTCTGTCTCTCTCTCTCTCTCTCTCAAACACACACACATGTACACGCAATCGCATGTACTTGCCCCGTACATTGTCTTTAAAGTTGTTTTTGTTAGGGTAATAATGGGAGAAGAAAATTCACTTCAACAGTGGAAGAAGTAAAAGAATAAACAGAATTCAAGTATACATCACCTTTAACATCTGTGTGTGTGTTTAATATCTTTGTGCGTGCGTGCGTGCGTGCGTGTGTGCGTGTGTGTTGTGTGTGTCTGTGTGTGCATGTGTTTTCATGGATACATACTGTAAAAGGTCTTTTTAAAAATCCAAGATTCATCTTAAATATTAAAATCACATCTTTCTTTGGAAGATTAGAGACAAGTCATCCTGAAATAGAAATAACAAAGATTATTAGTGTAAAAGTAATTAGAACATGTTTAATTACAAATCCTAATGTTATAAATACGACAGAAAGAATAGTTAACAATAATTTTACTGTGTATCTAAAAAAATGCCGTCCTTTCCCTGTTTTGAGAGAGAGAGAGAGAGAGAGAGAGAGAGAGAGAGAGAGAGAGAGAGAGAGAGAGAGAGAGGAGAGAGAGAGAGAGAGAGAGAGAGAGAGAGAGAGAGAGTTAGTTAGTTACATTCCCATTTGATAATGGTTATTCTTGGTGCGACAGGCTGTCTGTTTCATTTTGAGCAAAGAATGGCCGGGGTTGCCATCCAACGGGAACTGATCGAGGCTCAGCAAGATTGCTGGACGAGAGAGAGAGAGAGAGAGAGAAGAGAGAGAGAGAGAGAAGAGAGAGAGAGAGAGAGAGAGAGAGAGAGAGAGAGAGAGAGAGAGAGAGAGAGAGAGAGAGAGAGAGGACTAGAGAGAGTGAGAGGCGGAAAAAATGGAGAGAAAGAGAGAGAAAGAAAGAGAAAGAACGCTCAAACCTGCCTACATATCCCTCGTGCAGACACGAACACTTTACGCGAACCAATCACAAGAATTCGGTTTACAAATTAGCGAAAATCTAACTCAGTTTCAGAATTCGGTTGCGTGAGTGTTTTCAGCGACATTTCGAATATTTGTTTTGCGTTGCTGAGCTGAGGTCATTAGTGAATTCTCGGCAGTGTAGAAAATGCGCCGCTTTCCAGAAATGCATTTTTTGTGTTCAATTCAACCATGTCAACATTCACATACTTTTTATTGATAGAAGAGACAATTTCTTCTTTGCCTTGTAATCCTAAAAGTATGTATGAAGATGCATGTCCCAATTACTATTAAGAAATAGGCCTATACATTTTAGACATGGTTAAGTAAGTCATATTAGAAAATGGCAAAAAAAGTATATATATATATATATATATATATATATATATATATATATATATATATATTATATATATATATATATATTAGAGAGATGTCAGGTGAGGGAAAAAATTGAACCAGTAGGAAGAATAAGAAAGGATAGGAATTGGGGAGAAGACGCAAGATAAGAGTGAATGAGATAAAATGTGGAATCAAATGAAACGAAAAGATTAGGAAACTTTGGTGTAGAAAAACAAAATAGTAACGGATAATGCATGAGACAAAAAGATGACTATGCCAATACCTTAGAAAAAACGAAGTCGCATACAATACATGTCAACGAAACAAAATATACAACAAGAAGCAAACCTCATCTCAAAAAGAAGAAAAAAAAAAAAATCGTTTCATTTACAGATGTCGCAGCGGACAAAAATATAGACGCCTCGACAAACAAAAATAGAGACGCCTTGAAAAAAACAAAACAAAAATATAGACGCCTCGAAAAAAACAAAAATATAGACGCCAGGAAAGAAACAAAAATATAGAATCAGGAAAAAAAAAACTATAGACGCATCTAAAAAAAAAAAAAAAAAAAACTATAGACGCCTCGAAAACAACAAAAATATAGACGCCTCGAAAAAAAATATGTATAGACGCCCGAAAAAAAAAAACAAAAAAAAAAAAAAAAAAAAAAAAAAACAATGGCGCATCGGATCCTCTTTAGTATTCAGCCTTGACTAAACTCACTGCATGGCGTTTAGGGAGCTTTCTTGCTTTCACCTTTAAGATTTTTTTCCTCTATTTTTTCTCGTTCCTGATAAATCTCTCGCAATCACTTTGCTGTGGAAGTCTTTTACGAAGGGTGAAGGAAGATAAGAGGAGGAGGAGGAGGAGAGGAGGAGGGGAGGAGGAGGAGGAGGAGGAGGAGGGGAGGGGAGGGAGGAGGAGGGGAGATGAGGAAGAGGAAGAGGAAGGAGGAGAGGAAGGAAGGGGAGAGGAGGAGGAGAGGAGGGGAGGGG